ACTGTCTGACGCGTCTGCCTCCGCGACCCGAAAGGAGAAGCGGCGATGGAAGATGAAGATGAAGATTTTCGGGTTGAGCGAAAATTTCTAACCGAAACACCTTGCCGAGTTTGTTTATTGCTTAGAAACTCAGCGACACGTATTTGCGTACTTCCTACCATTGTGCACGCATGCGTTGGTTCTTATCTCCCTTGCCCGTTTTATGGAGATTTTGTATCCTGAAGCAACTTTTTCTTTCAAGACAAAATGGCTTGCCCGTAGATCACTTGATTTGCACTATAGTATATATAGCTGTATCTAACGGCATCAGTTGGCTGATCATTTCCGCGGTAATGGCACTTAACATCTCAGTCGATACCCCTCACGATGCTTATCACTGTTGCTTGATAGGAGCTCTTGGCATACTAAATTAGTTGCACAAACTGAGCCCTAAATCAGATACTTCATTCCAACTTCAACGTTTATTCATAAACGTCCTCAAACAGTCAAAAGGGTATACTGTTGAAATAAGCGTATGTAGCGTGTGAAACTAGCACAGACTAACACTGGAACAATCACTGACTCGTTGGTACAACAATACATATAACATACAAGGACAAACAAACTATACAGAAATGAGATAAGGATAGATGGGTGGAAACAGATGCAGATAAATATTTAAATATGTGGATTAGCATGAAATGATCGATTCAAGCAGCTGCCGCTTTTCCAGTTCCTCGTTCAGATCACAGATCTTCTGTATGCTTCATTCCTCAAATTGATGTAGCCACATTGGAACCTTAAAATGAATTTTGCAAGAGCCTGGTGCAGAAGATGCAGAAGATCAGTGCTGAGTAGATTTACCAAGTTTTACAATGGATTTTGCAATCTGATGTACGACAAAGTTTGCAATTTTCATGTAGAACAGCTGGCATTCTCCGCTTTTAATTTCCAGAACTGATCGAAATTTGCGCAGGTAAGGTTTACTTAGGGACAAGCGGTTAGTTTAGCGAGGCATATATAATTAGAGAAAGTATACATGTTTTAGAAACAGTTCTTTGAATTTTTCGGGGCTTGCGATGTAGTCAGATGTTGCAAGACGTAGCTATACCGTTTAACTTTAGTGGCTATTTTTCTCCTTGTTCACTGAAGTATGGACTTTCGTCAGTGGTGAAATTGCGATTGTTTCTGCTGATAACTCTGTGTATGGTCCTACAGCGAAATAGATACAACGAGGAAGTTCGTTAATATATTGCGAGAATGATTGTTGAGCCAGAATAAGCATTCTTTCAGTTGTTCTGATTAATGAGAAAGCAGTTTTTCTTAACCACTTGCACTGAATAGAAATAGTTACACAAAGACACCTTGTGAGATTGTCTACTGAAGTAATTGTACAAGTACCAAAGTATCGGCATTTTTCATGGCTTTATTCAAAAGTTGACCTTGCATTCATTAGTGTATACTATGAAGATAAGTGAAGATTAAGTTAATTCGTGCAAAATTTCTAATCTTTTTCGTAGAGTGAAAGACTGATGTCCGTTGACCCGTACGAACTGGGTGCTGTCAGAGATGGTTGATTAACCTATGCATCGTGTTTGGGTCTTTGCAAGAGAACACAGAACCCATAGAAGCTTTACGACACACAGGTGCTAAATGCGCTGCTGTAGTCGATAAATAAGCAACGAGTTAAGGCCAGTCATCTGCGATGTTGCATCTTTCTTTTTTGTTCTTGTTTTGCCTTGTTTATCGTTACGTTTTAGCTTCGACCACGTGTGATATGAATAGGTGTCATTTGTATTGTGATAACTGTGGTGCTTTCGCGTAATGAACTATTTTGATTTATATAGTTTGTTGCGGTGCTGTTTTACATCATTTGTCATTTTATGTACTCTTCTGCGTACACCTTAGTCACCATGAATTACTGATTCATGAAATCATAATTTTTTGATTTAGGAGTTATAGTCCCTGAGGAATGAAGAGTTTATATAAGCGCTGCACCCAGGATCGAAACGATTCCTCCCAACCGACAGAGTAACGATTCAGTGCTAGCGGCTTGTTTCGAATGGTATGGAAAAATATGAAACGACTTTGTTGTTTAGTGGAATCTCTTTCAGCATTGTGGAATTTAAGCAGAGAATCAGATGGCTTTGCGGTCATGTGCTTTTCACACGATTTTTCGGAAAAAGGCCGGTCGCCATAACGTAGCAACGTTCGATGATAGAGACATTTTACGGAAGGCAAGTTTCGGCACTGTAGTCGAGTCTCTGCTCAGCTTCACTCGCGAAGCTTTCCTGTCTCTCCATGAAAGCACGCATCTTCCATGGTGGGCGTTGATTACCGTTGTGACAGTGACAACCAAAGCGGTCAGTTTTCCGTTAATGGCCATGTCGCAAAAGAATTCGCTGAAGTGTCTGGTTCTTGCTCCATATGTCGAAAAGTACAGCGGCCAGATCAAGTCGAAGATCGACGAAGAGGCATTTCGGTACCGCTGGAGCGAACGACGCAAACGCCGGATCTACGCTTACAACGTAAAACTGACTTGTGCCATAGACCTTTAGCGCCGATGTCGCTGTCGCTTTAAGATGGGCCGGGTATTCCGAGACGTCTACGAAAAACAGGGTTGTCATCCCTACCGGTCACACGCCATCGTCGTATTCCAGCTACCCGTCTGGTTCAGTTATTCAGTGACCATTCGCGATTTATCGTTGTTCAGAGGGATCGCCGAAACTGCAGGTACTCTCACTGGAGCAGGTAAAAGGCCGGGCGATTTTGCTATTCTGTTCTGTAACTTTTTGCTTCAGATCAAGTCGGCATGAAATGTGAGGGCTTGTATTGGTTTACCGACCTGACAACGCCTGATCCTTATTACATCATACCGGTTCTCATTGGCTTAAGCAACTATGCCATCTTTAAGGTAAAGCTCGAAGTCAGAGTAGTGCTGTAGAAAAAATAAGCGTGACAGGGGCGTAGGTAATAAGGTCAGCCTGAGAACTATCATATTTGGCATGTATCGGTATTGTCAACGTGAGAATTTTTAATTATTTGCAGTAGCATCCTATTGTAATTAAAGGCCTATAATCAGGAGCACATAATTATGTCTCAGCTGTTCTCCCATTATTGGCGTTTTGCAGTTACTCGCTATGAAAGAAAATAACGCTTGATCAAGAGATGTTTCTTTATTATTTATTTTACAATATTAAAAGGGATTAAAATCGATTCATTAATTGACTAACAATTAATGATCTTCGTTTCCCGATCCATGGTTCGAAACAGTCACTGAAGTGGAAGATATAAAATTGTTTATCTGCGAATTACGT